AGACAAAAACCACTTCCAACCCCAAAACCTGGACTCCATCCACAGCGAACTGTCAATGCAGAAATCTACACTCAGCGATTGGAACGTTTAAATCAAGCCCTTCATCAGAAACGCCCTTCACTCGTCAAATCCAATGGAAAGGTGTTATTCTTCTCCACAACAATGCACATCCACATGTGGCACGATTGATGCAACACAAGATTATGGAGTTGGGTTGAGAAGTTCTCCCCCACCCACCATATTCTCCAAATATGGCACCATCAGATTACCATCTTTTTCGTTCGCTACAACACCATCTTAATGGGAAAACGTATGCAAATGTGGAAGGTGTTAAAGGTGTATGTATTTTGCTTCAAAGCCAAGTGATTTCTTTAATCAGGGCATTAACAACCCGATTGTAAGATGGAAAAGCATCATCGCTAAGAATGGAGACTATTTCATTTAATAAATGGGTGCTACCACAGCGTGCGGGACTTTTACACTATAAACAAAGCATATAAAGATAAAGGTGAGGTGGGGTTTTCTATGATCCCTCTGGGGTACGGGTAATAGGGTCAGGTGGGTCTTGGTAGACTACGGATACTGCGGTAGACCGCACGCTATAGTAGCACCAATAAATGTTTTGTTTTGATATACAAGTTGTTCGGGGTTTTTTTCATCTAAAAAATGCGATATTAATTTCTTGACGACCTAATACAAGTCAGATGGGAGTTAGATCATAGATGACCTGAAATTTTTATCCGAAATAAGTCTTAATAAAAAGTTTAGAAAATAAACAACAATTTTATACTCGAGATGTATATATAAACAACTTCTTATTTTAACCAACGTTTCGGCTTCATCTGGGTTAATATATACACAGCTGTTTGGTATTAGAGTATTTGTCAAATTATAATTTAACGAATATTCTAATATATGTGTATATTAACCAGGACCGTCGAGAGCCAGCACGGGCCCCGGGGCAAACATCCTCGCTGGGCCTCCTTTCTCTCTCTCTTTATTAAAAAGAAGATCCTAAATTAGGACAGCAACGAGCTCATAAACCGGACAAAATCACAGCAACAGCATAGATAGCCCTTTTGTAGCTTTGTACATAATTAAAAACAAACTAACTCTTCTACGTCCCTCCAGTGGCACAGCGGACTTATAACGCTAGAGACCGGGTTTCGATACCCGTGGTGGGCAGAGCACAGATAGCCCATCGTGTAGCTTCGTGCTTAATTACAAGCAAACAAACCTTCTGCTCTTAAATAATAAAGCAAAAGTAGTAGTATTTATTTGTTCTTCTAGAAATAGGCCTTGCTTCTTGTTATCAGGTAGCATTTATGTTGAACTTTTAAGAATATTTTGTTACTTACTTGAATGATTATCACTAATTATAATTAGTCATTATTATTATTGTGACACGCAGCTGTGAAAACCAAAACAAAAAACGCCAACATATAAGACTGTTTTTCGAGTAAATAAATTAAAAATATTGCAAAACAATTAATCAGGGTTAACGTTTAATATTACATCTGTCGTAACAATAACTCTTTTCAGGCGCTTACTATTCATTGCGACAGAGGGCGTTTATCTTAAACGAACTGGAGCTATTTATTTATTTTTTACTGGGCAATATGTGGATATTTTTCGTAGTTAACGATTAGACTCACGATGGTCCAGTAGGTAAGTCAGGGGGATTATAAGGCTAAAATTTGGGGTTCGATCCTTGCGGTGGGCCCAGCACAAATAGCCCATTGTGCACTTTCGTTATTTAGGAACAAACAAACAACTTAACGCTTTTAAAGTTTCTGTTTACTAACCAACATCACAACAGAAATGATTTCCTAAAAAAAAAAAGTATATTGAAAGTCGATACGTTAAAAATTTGAATATCAAATTTTTCAGGAAAAAAGGAAAGCAGAAGAAATAGCAAAATTTTACACCGCAGAAAATTTTGTTAGCACTATTCCGGAAAAGATGCTAACGGCTGCGCCATACCTCCGTGGAAGCGACAGGTTCTGGCCAAGAAAGCCGCCGAAAAAGCCCGCAAAGAGGCCGAAGAAGAAAGACAGGTTTGTTGTAAGATTTATCATGTTTAAATCCAGAATGATATCATTAGATTTGTCGCTTTTTTATTTTGGTAAACACACATCTTTTTGTATGTTATCCGAATAATGTAAGTAGATAGCGTGTCCGAAATGTGAAGTCTGAAAATTTAAAGTTCGCGTCCCGTTGCTGCAAAAAAAAAAAAAAAATGCTTCTCACTTTGGAGCCATGGTCGAGTGTTGGCGGTGGGTCTTGTTGACTAGCCGCCTATCCTCTAGTTCATCGGTTCAAAATTAGGAACATATAAATATTTGTTTAGGTTTGCAGGAAAATTCGTAAGGTATTATTAACAGTGACATCTATTTATGAATATTTAAATGTACCCCGTCACACCAAATATGCTCGCCCTTTCAACCGTGGGGTGGGGGGGGGGCGTTATAAT